GAAGAAACAAATTTATCTCACACCAAATAGGCCTTGAAAGTTTGCAACCTCCTGTAATAAAACCCTATAATATTACTCTACCTTGTAAGTTGACATGGTGATTTCTTTTCTCTTGGTGTTGTGCTGAGCCACACATAGGCATATGGATGCTACATTTTACACTCTCAATTTCCAAAATTTACACATAGAAACAACCAAAATCGCATGTGTAATCTGTATCATTCATATGCCTCTGGGTCAGATTGTATACCCTTCAACTGGTCAACAAATGCACATGTGGGAGGGCTCAAAGTACGATCTGTATTTACAACAGTGGTGTAAAACGTGAAATGCGCTCTGCAACTGTAGGGGGAGCCCAAGAGCAAAAATACCAATTCTCACATAATGCTGCTTTAAGTAGATACAGCTTAGTGGGCTTTTCTATTGATTAGGCCTTCAGGAGCTGAATAGAAGGCCTTACACATCAGTTTAACCATCTACTAGTCACTAAAAGTCACAGTTTGCTGCTGGTAGAGCCAATAGGCTGAAGCCAAAAGCCACTATATCATAAACTATGAAAGGCACTGCAGGTTGAGTAAGAAACTATTTGAGATTCTTCGTATTTGATACATAAACCCAACTATTAATGACGCCTTGGGCTCATTTTTGCCTCTGTGTATAAATATGTGTTACGGATTTACAAATCAGTATATAACTATCCAACTGATGCCTTGAGTGATTGCTGAAAGGGTTAAGAGCTCTCTGTTCGGGGGGCATAGCATGGCAGGATGCCACCTGGGATAAGCCCTCCATTCTGAGCAAACGCACATCTGTACTGATGCAGCCAACAGCCCAGCATCACACGGCGAGAAGAAGAATGAGGACAATAAAACAACACACAAGATTGAAATAAGCATCTAATAGAGGAATGGCAGCAGAGCCAGGACGTGCGGGAGGGGTTTAGGGGGCAAGTCGAGGGTGGGAGAGAAACTTGAAGAGAGAGAACAGGAGGGAGAAGTTCTCTCATTCTCCAGCAGGTTTGAACGAGACCCATTTGGGGATTACCGGTTTGGCTGTGGGACAGAGCTCTGCAGAGCAGTGGGCTGGAAATTGATTCCCTCAAATACATCTAATAAAACAAATAATTGCCCCTTATCCCTAACATGCACACACAAACACATTCCCACAACAAATCCTTTGTTCTCATACGTAAGCCAATAGTAGTAATTCTCTTTAAGCTGTACCTGATAGTGAAGTCAGATTGGAGGTCGGTGTCCTCGGCTGCTGAGGGTCACATGGTTTAGGACATACATCCACATAAAGTCCTTTATTAGTGGAGGTTCTCAATCTCAATCTAGTCCTCGTCTGGTGGTCAAAGGGCTTTTTATCATAGGTGATATTAACAGGCCACACTCAAGGGTTTCAAGGGTTCTTTAGTAAAGGGATTTAAAACCATATATAGAAACAAACCTATATAGAACCATTTCATGCTTAAATGGTTGTTTGCATGGTGAAATGGTTCTGTATAGCACCAAAAGGGTTCTTCTATTGTTACAATGTCATGCTTGTTGCATTAGAAGAACACTTTTTGGAAACCCTTTTTGAAAAGGTTCTATTTAGAACCACCTACAGCACATTCTACATCAATCTGAAGAACCTATTCACAATGCAACGAACACTTATCATGGAAAAGGTTTTTCTATACAGAACCATTTTCTTTACTGAAGAACCCATTTTTCAGTGTGTATGAGAGAGTACAAACTAAACACCGCATTGGTCAGGACCACAGCAAAGGGGAGGAGCTACAGAGGCAAAAATTAGGCGAGACTGCGGAAGAGAGAGAAAGGGGCGGAACCTGAACAGGGGAACCATAACAGTGGTATTATTCATTTCCTGATTCTGCAGGTACAGTCACAAAAAGTTTGCTCACCCCTGGTGACTTGTTTTGTTGATCCTCTGCAGAGAACACACTTAGATATGATACTTTTCAGCTAATTTTTATCGACAATTTCAATTCATTTGCTGAGTTTAACAAATTGGGAAGAAAATAACAAAATATAAAATGTTTAGTAACTTTTAATTAGGCCACATTTGTATAGGTCATCTTTTATGCAGTTGTGTAATTTTGTATTATTTTTATTCGCTATAAAGGTTACTTGTGCCAATTTTGATCAAAGTTGGCTAAAGTAGCCTTTATGTCTGATGACGCCTGTTGGAATAAGCATTTCTAAACATTTATGTAGGTTGTCATGATAAGCTTATGAAGGTGTCAGGTAGCCTTATGAACAGTACCCTACAGTACAGTGTTACCAAATAAGGATGACTACAAAAGCAGCTGTGTGCAAAAGTCCAAAATCTTAATGCACTTATATACTGAGTAACTTAGAGAACTGCAGTGGAACTTCCAGCATCTGTCAGCAAAGAAGTGAAGACTGACTTTATTCTCCTCTTCGTCATTTCTTTTGGCCTAAATTAAAATGTTTGAGTTTTAAAATAAGAGATGTGACCAATCACAAAGCAGCACAGATGTTGTCACCAACAGAACAGAATGAAATGACACACAAAAGGAATTAGTAAATAAAAATCAATGGCAAAAATGGAACTGAGTAAGAAGTAGATTCCTTTATTCACTAATATGCTTGAGTAAAAGTATTATGATGGAAAAATACTCAAAAGAGTACAAATCCACTCATATTTTACTAAGTACGTGTACTTGAGTAAATGTAACTAGTTTTAAAAAACATAATTACTGTATTTCACTTGATATAACTTATATATCTGACTTCCTGCACTTTGGAAATGTGACTTATTTTACAATATTGACTTCTAGAAATACTGTATCAACTAAATGCTGGATTACATTGCTGTTCTGGCTGCTACCTCACTGACTGCTATGCTCAAATGCTAGGCTATCTGCTAATCTGCTAATATGTCATCCTCCTTTGCACAACTCCACATATTCTCAGTACTGTGTACTGCCTGTGTCCTGTTTTATATTTAGTCTTTCATATTTATTGCGCTGTATTGTCTGTGTATTGTATTGTTCTGCACTCTGTTGTTTAGTTTCACTGTGTACTTGTATGTAGCTGAAATGACAATAAAGCCACTTGAACTTGTTGCTACCCAGAAAAATCGGTGGATAGCTGGCCTCCGGCTCCACTCTGGGGCCAAAGGCCAATGCTGGAGGCTTTGAACATTCACACAAATGAAATCAGTTTGCTAGTTTCACCGTTCTCCTGGACTGCTGGGTCGTTTCCCTCACACCCCCTCTCTGTAAATCATGCAGGCAATTACTGTGAGAGGGCAGGCTTGGACCAAGACCTCAGCCAGAATACAGAGGCATAATCAAGTACACAAATCAACTGACCGCACATGATAGGGCTTGACCGAGTGAGCTGACAGAACGGACGACGGTGTGAAATCGAATCCACCACGGCGGCCCCAACACCGCTTCCAACCAGCTCTCATTTCAAAATGCTTAACGATGACTGACAGCTGTGGCTGGGATGGTCAGCCAATCACGTGCGCCGCAGCGATGAAGTGGGCAGGTTGCCGGAGCGTGTTAACCCCAGCAGCTGCAGTGTGACCGGGTTGTTAGGGTTAGCTGCTAGACGCCATAAATTCTCTCTAAAGAGGGTTTACTTTTTATTTTAATGGGAGCTGTAAATTTCTCACAGTTGGGACTATGAAGAGAAAGACCTCTCGCCCTGTTTCTCCATCTCTTCCTTTTCTTTCTACAATATTTTTATAACCGCAGAAACAGTAAAAAAGAAGTTTATGAAGTGGAAAAATGGACAGTTCTAAATCTAAACTCTGATTTTGTTCCATGCTGTTGTAAAATACTCAGTATACATAAATATGACTGCACACATCAGGTGGGTCCAGCATTAGTGGGCCAAGATATTAAAAATTATTAGTCAGAGGCATCGGGTCAGATTTCACAGATTTCTTTCAGACCACGTCAGATGTCTTTATGCATTAAGATCGCACACAGGCTCAGAAAGAAGGCTGAGCTTGTTGTTTAGGTCTCAAACGCAAAATCAATATTATAGCGATGAAGATATGATGACAGTAGTAGATAACTCAGAAGACACATGGGGTCCAAAGCACAACCCATGTTCTTCTGCATGTTGCATGCAATTACACTTTTCCACCAGAGAGGTCTCCAAATCACCAAAACTTACACAGTGTAGCTTTAAGTTAAAAAAGTGTCAACAAAAGTGTGCCATACGTCACAGTTGACCAATGAAAATCAAGGATGCCTTCTCTCTAGTCACTCGTCCAGCATGGTTTTGGCTGTTGTCAGCCCATGAATGACACCAGATCTTAATTAGGTTTATTTTATTAAAATAATTTTCTGTGCTGGTAGTGACAATTTTTTCCCCCAATTTAGTTGTGTCCAATTCCACTAGATAGGACTCCCCCAGTCACATGATACCACTAGCGCTAGGAGGGGGAAGGCTAGCACAGCTTCCTCCGAGACCTGTGTAGCACTACTGCATCTTTTCAAACTGCTGCTAATGCAAGATCATTGGACAGCAGAACGCACTCGCAGGAAAGCACCAACTGCCAGTTCTTATATGTTACTAACAGATGCCTGCATTGGCTGGCATCGCGCTGAGTGCCTACCCAGCGAGAGTGAGGTCAGTTGTGCTCTCTTGGACTCCTGGCCACAGATGACTGTAGCATTACTGGGAATAGAGCTTGCAACCTCCTGATGATAGGGCCAATGCTAAGACAGATACACCACTTGGGAGCCCCCCCCAATGTTTATTTATTTTTTTTAACAGTGGGACCACAGTTCTTATTTGGTAGAATGGTCCACAAAGGACAAATGGTGTAAAAAATATCTTTATGCATTTGAAGACATTCAGTCTGTTTGTTTGTTGTTTTCATGGTGACGTTCTAAAAAAAATCACATCTGGTGTGCATAGTTTAACGCAAACAAATCGCTTCAGTGTCTGGTTCTTAACCATTCTCTCTATCTCTCTCTCTCTCTCTCTCTCTCTCTCTCTCTGTAGGTGCTCTTTGCTCTGAATCAGACGCTGCGGCAGCATGAAGGAGTGCGAGAGGGCAGCATGCAGGGCCAGAGTCCATTCAGCACTGAGGACCTGATCACTCACTACAACTGTGGAGACCTGAGCTCCATCATCTTCAACCACGACACCTCACAGGTACAAACCCACACCGGCGTCTCAGACAGAGGCGCTGAGGCCGAATGTAGGCACGAGATGAACAGCTCTGTTTAAAAGACAACATGAAAACTGTGAGACACAAGGAAACAGTCAAAACAGAGAGAGAAACATAAGAGCTACATAAACCAGAAACAAGATAAAAACCCTGTTGAGGAGGCTAACAAACTGCACACAGGTGGAACCATTGATACAGAATGGGCGGAACCAAGACAACCAACACACAATAGAAACCTGTGACTGTTCTGCACTTTACCTTTATAAATGTGGCCGTGAAGCTGCTTTAGTGTATTAAAGCACAGTCTGAGTAGCTGGTGTTGGTGTAAATATGTAACAGTGTTAAAGTTTAATTGTAGGCTTACATCTTTTCATTGCGCAGGAGTGTTAGCTTGCTTGTAGCGTGGATGGAGCATTACTTGTATTTCGACTCCTTAATTAGTAAGTAAGTAAAGTTTATTTATATAACGCTTTTTACAACAGGTGTTGTCACAAAGCAGCTTTACAAGGAAATCAGCATTACAAAAAGAAATCTGAGTCCAAGCCTCCATGAGCGTCGCCAGTGGCGACAGTGGCAAGGAAAAACTCCCCAAGAGAAACAGGAAGAAACCTTGAGAGGAACCAAGACTCAGAAGGGGAACCCATCCTCCTCTGGTCGACACCGGATAGTAAACATTGTTAGTATAAAGTATTATAGAACAACAGGGAAAAAGGTGGAGCAAACGATTAATTTGATTAGTTTAGCTCATGCAGCAGCAGCATCAGCATCAGTGGGGTCAGGTTGTGAGGGTGAGGTTTGCACGGCGAGCAGTGGCACCCGATCAAGGCAGAAATGACCTTGGAGAAGCAGAAGAGGCAGCAGCATCAGAACGCACAGGATGGGCAGCTGTTCAACTCGGCAAAGGAAAGAAAGGAAAAACACACAGAGTCAGTTCAGTGTGTGTGTGTGTGTGTGTGTGTGTGTGTGTGTGTGTGTGTGTGTGTGCGTGTGTGTGTGTGTGTGTGTGTGTGTCACCTACAACATTAGTTCAGGCTTCTTTTATAATGAGTGATTTTTGTGTAATATTTTTATGTAATATATTTCTTTTTTACAGGAATTTCATCCACTCACGCTTTCTCTCTGTGTCATTCTCTCTCACTTACTTCTGCACACACTCTTTTGCACTCTCTCTCTCTTGTAATGTTATAGCCTATAGCTGGAGGAGTGGGTGAATGTGCCCCTTGATGAACCCACAGATGATGTGCAAAGGAGAGCTGAGATGTAAAGTGGGACCTGTTAACGTTTTAAGGTTCAGCACTGGTTGAAAAATTCAGGGCTGTAGCTCTGGAAGCCTGGGCTGGGTGATGTCCCTGCTTTGAAACAGTGTTTGGGGCTGAAGGTTGTATGTTTTGTATTATTTACTGAGCCTGTGTGAGTCGCCACACACAGAGAAACACAGTACTGAGTGTGAGTGTGTTGTGTGTGAGGAAGGCTGGTGTATAAGCTGCAGGATGGATGAGCTGTAATGCTGAACTCCCTCACACTCCCACCATCAACCGTCACTGATACACACACACACACACACACACACACACACACACACACACACACACACACACACACAGTGACTGTTTAAAGGAGAATTACATATTTTTATAGAATCTATTCATGGTGGAGAGGTACATGCAGGACGTTCTAAGGCAAAGTAGTCCCCCAAAAATATATATTTTTTCAGATCTATCACTATTTTATCATTATCAACACTACATATAAAAACTCAGAAGACTTGTGTAGGTTCACTACTGACTATATTTGTGTTGTAAACAGAGTGACCCCTGGTTCCTATCACCACCAATGTAAAGAAGTAAGAGTCTGTAAATTTCTTTGCAATGAACCATTTCGCACCACTCTAATACACTTTGTGTACATCTCAACTGTTGAATTATGCAGATTAAAAAAAAAAAATCAGTGGAATTCCCCTTTAATGCCTTTTCAATACCAGGCAAACACACACACAGATTCAAAGACAGACAGAGAGAGAGAGAGAGAGAGAGAGAGAGAGAGAGAGAGAGCGAGAGCAATACAAGAAGTAGGAAGGCGGAGTAAATTTCTGTTTCTGTTGTTTGTCGTTCCATATTTCCTGAGAGGGTCAAACACAGTTCAGCTAATGGCTCTTGTAGAGATAACATATCTGAGAGATCAGTGTGCAGTCCAGCTCCCGTCCCTCTCTCTCTATCTCTCTCACTCTCAGTCACTCTGCATTTAGGCCTCAGATCCAGGCTAGCCTCTGGTAACTGGAAAAGGCTTCTGACACTCAGAACAAACCATTAAGTGAGAGAGAGAGAGAGAGAGAGAGAGAGAGAGAGAGAGAGAGAGAGAGAGAGAGAGAATTTTTACATGATATTTCAGCAAACAAACCTTTCCCTAAACATGACTGCCTTTGCTGACACTGTGTGATGCAACACTGGCAACCCAAACAACACAAAATGCATTCAGAGCAGAGGTACATGCAGGGCATTGTATGGAAAAAAACATATTTTTTTAAAATTTAGCAGTATTTTACCATTATCGGCATGACATACAAAATCTTAGACGTATGAAAGTCCATTGGTCATTTTGGACAGCTGATAAAATGGTGATATTGTTAGTGTAGACATAATGACATCTGGTTCCTGGTACTATAATTGTGAACAATTCCGACTCTGTAAACTTCTCTAGAAAGACGCATTTCACACTAAACCAGTCTGAATGATTTTGTTCACATCTAAAACATTGAATGATTGAGTAATTTTGCAAAATCGGTGGAGCTCCCCTTTGAACTAGAAGGCAAACACACTGAGTACACCCCGTTCTACAAACAAAGCTGGCCACAATCAGACCTGAATGCCCCAAAACAGACAAATAAACAGCTACAAACAGTCACTGTGTTGTACTAAGGCATTTGTCATTCTACAGTCTGTCAGCTGCAGCCCTCCGTATATTTTCTTTAACCTTTGCATTTTTATAGTCTCTCATATAACCTCTGTGGTCCACCACAAGCATGATGAGCTGTTCCGCCGCTGCCGTGATGCTCTTGTTTGGACTGCAGCTATGACAACGAAGCTCTGATTAGTCAGCCTGACTTTTAATGCACTCGTACAATGCAGAGAATCGAGCTGGCTCCAATTAAAGCTCATACACAGCATCACAGTCCATCAGTCTCGGACTCAGTGTTAAAGACAGCTTCGGAAATCAGTGTGAACAGGACTTAAAGCGCTCAGACAGGTGAGTGAGGAGAGAGTGGAGTTAAGCGAGTGTTAAAGGCAGAGATTAGGGAAATTATAACAATGACTGTGCTGAGTTGATTCGTCATTCTAAGACAAGACAGGAAACCGCAGTAAAGACATCAGCGTGTGTGTGTTTGTCCTGGATGAAAAAAGTGGATCTGCACAATATCAGTGAAATGCTTTTATATCATGTGTGTCAGGCACCAAGGTCTGAGAGAGGGGGGGGGGGGGGAGAGAGAGAGGGAGAGAGAGAGAGAGAGAGAGAGAGAGAGAGAGGGAGAGGGAGAGAGAGGGGGGATGAGAGAGGGAGAAAGAGAGAGAGGGAGAGAGGGAGAAAGAGAGAGAGAGGAAGAGAGAGAGAGAGAGAGAGAGGGAGAGAGAGAGGGGGGATGAGAGAGGGAGTAAGAGGGAGAGAGAGAGAGAGGGAGAGAGGGGGGGTGAGAAAGGGAGAAAGAGGGAGAGAGGGAGAGAGAGAGAGGGGGGATGAGAGAGGGAGAAAGAGGGAGAGAGGGAGAGAGAGAGAGAGGGAGAGGGAGAGAGAGAGAGGGAGAGAGAGAGAGAGGGGGATGAGAGAGGGAGAAAGAGGGAGACAGGGAGAGAGAAAGAGAGAGGGAGAGAGAGGGGGGGTGAGAGAGGGAGAAAGAGGGAGAGAGGGAGAGAGAGAGAGAGGGAAAGGGAGAGAGAGGGGGGATGAGAGAGGGAGAAAGAGGGAGAGAGGGAGAGGGAGAGAGGGAGAGGGAGAGAGAGGGGGGATGAGAGAGGGAGAAAGAGGGAGAGAGGGAGAGAGAAAGAGAGAGGGAGAGAGGGGGGGTGAGAGAGGGAGAAAGAGGGAGAGAGAGGGAGAGAGAGAGAGAGAGGGAGAGAGGAAGGATGAGGATGTTTGGACGCTAACCGGACTATAGCAGCTCATCTGTCACACATGCACACAGAGCTCTCGGCTCCCAGTGTACCCAGCGTAGTTTTATTGTGATAATACACAGCTCTGTCAGGAATCTCTCAGATAAACACACACAGCACCACATTAATGCATCCCAGAGATGCACACTGCTTCCCTTTTAAGTCTCTCTCTCTCTCTCTCTCTCTCTCTCTTCCTCTTTTTCAATTCAATTCAAAACAGTTATCGACAGAATCAGGAAGGAGGTTCTTGAAGTGTCCTTTTCACTTAAAGTCAGATGTACAGTGCTGTGCAGAGACCACTTTCAATTATTTCACTTCCAGTCAAAACTGCCATTAAATACAAGCTACTCATTTGGGATCAAAATCAAAATCAAGCTGCTTCAGATCTGAAAACATCCACAGGCGTTTCTGTCCATCCTTCCACTGTGAGAAGACGACTCAGCGCTGTGGGTCTGAAAGGATGTGTAGCTGTCAAGAAGAACCTCACTGAGAAAAGGAGACGGACACATCAAACAAAGAAGCTGAACAATGGACTGACCACCCCAGAGTCCAGACCTCAACATCACTGAATGTGTTTGATTACTTCAGAAAATGATCAACCAAGTGAAATAAATGAACAGTGGTCTCTGACCTTTGCACGTTACTGGTCAAAAGTATGGAGTCAGGTTTTGACATTTTTTGTACAATAATAACTTATGCGTATGTACTACACTGTACTGATCAAATACCGTGAGCTAGACACTAGACCAGAGGGACGGAAACCCAAATGTTAAGAAGAGCCATTTTGAAACGTGGTTAAGAAACCATCTTGGGAGCTGCAATATTTTATGTCCATTTTACCATATTGGCTGTAAATATGTCTCAGTATGTGCTGATGTACTAGTATAGGATAAAAAATGCAGACTTACTTTGCTCTGCTTTAAGCTTTAGCTCAGCTATAGCCACTTTTCTCACATCTCCAGCAGGAAACTTTTTCCAAAGTAGAACAGTTTCTTGTAAAACGTCTCTTTGATTGATTTTTTACGAGGCTGAAGTTGCTTCTAATTCACCAGCTTGTTGTTTGAATTTTCCTGTTCCACTTTAAATGGTGGCTGAGGCGACAGAATGTAACTGCCACATCATTAATGTGGAATCGGAAAATTCAAACGAGAATCTGGCGAATGAGAAACTGACTTCAGCCTCGTAACTTTTTAGTGTTTGTCAGTTTCTCGTTGCAGATTAAACGTATCAGGAAACCAGCTGGAGCGATTATAAACACAAATGAGTCCATTCATCTCCAAATTATCGATGTTTGTCCTAAATCTCTCTCTTTACCTTTACATTAGCGACTAGCTATATGAGATTGTTGTCTGCATTGCTATCGTGACCATCAGTCTGCACTCCACGCGTCAACATTTAGGGTTAAACGGTTAATCACCTGTTCTACATTAACTCCAGCATTTAAGACCATTTATTGTTAAACTGTGTTGAACGATCAGCAGAGCTTTATTTTACTGTAAAGGAGGATTATTTTATTTTTATCCCACAAAATCTAATTCTGCTGTGGAGCCGCAACAGGACAGTAAAAGGGCCACATGCTCCGGAGCCGCACTACAGATTTGATCATTAAGGAATAATCACAGCCCCGGCATCATATTAGCATCATGTTAAAAATGATCTGCAACCAAACCAGTTGTATGTTACTGAAAAGTGATTCTAAAATTTTGAATGGACATTTGGTAGAATGCCACTGCATGTTTACATTTTCTCTGTTTTTCCCATCCTTGCTCCCTCATTCTCTTAACCCCCCCCACCCAGCTCCCTCATTTCATCAACAGTTCCCTGCTGGATCATGAGCGCTCCACGGCACAGCAGATTGACAGTTATCTCCGGCAGGAGTTGATCTATAAGCGGAATGAGCGAATGGCCCGCCGTGTCTCCGCCCTGCTGCAGACCAGCCCGTCCCAGAGCTTCTTCTTCGCCTTTGGTGCAGGTGGGTCCCAATCAAGTGTGCTACTGGCTGTGTCCCAATTCACTCATGGTTCCTGGTCATGTCTCAGTCCATTCACAGTTCCCAGCCACATCCTAGTCTGCTAACGGCTTCAGGCCTCATCCTAATCCACTCACAGCTCCCGGCTGCATACCAATCCACTCCTGACTCCTTGCCACGTACCAATCTACTCCTGTCCACATCGCAATCCACTGGCCCCTATGGCTCCGTTAGCTGCACAATGTTGTGCAGGGATGTCCATTTCCGCTCCTGGAGTACACTCTGCGTATTTTAGTGTTTCTTCTGCTGTGACTTTGGCAGGGCTCTAACTCCCACATCATCTCCGGAGGGGCCTACTAACTGACCTGTCCTTGCTTCGCCCACAAATGCATTCTTTTGTGACTGCTGTCACGAGGTTGGACAAGCTTTACAGAATGCTGGCAACTCGGCTCAGCACACAACTCTAGTTTTGTCCAAATACATAAATTTAGAGTATTTCAATAATATTTACATGTGAAATGTCACACTGAGTGTTTACATGAACTCAATGATGCAATCCTAATCGGATTTCTGCAGTTATCTGATTATTCAAATGGTCGTGTAAACAGCACACTGATTTCTTACATTGGAGTAAGGTCTAGAAATACGATTCAGACACTCGATAAAGGGAGCTGGATTTTAGCTCAGTAATCAGATTTCTCAGTGCATGTGAACTCTTACTCTGATTTCTTTCGGATTTCTCAGTCTGCACATGTGCGAAAACAGACTGCGGTACCGGAAATAAGCGAGCAGTGTTGCCGCGAGACACAGCAAAACACTTTTGGAGCGACACTGAAATCAACTACATTCTTGACGAAATGAGGGATTTAAATATTCTTCATCTTCTAGATGATGTATGTTCATATTTTCAGGTAAAGTGACGCAATTAAAAAAAAAAAGCTGGGTTGTGAAGTTTGAGTTTTATGTTACATTTACATCACGTCTTATTCTGTGAGTTTATTGGCTGGTTGCAAAGCATAAATCCGATTACTGTCTGACTCATATAGACCTGGAGTTTCACATTATCTTATTACTCAAGCGCATGTAAACGCGCTGATCTAATTTTTGACAAAATCAGATTTTCTGCAGTTATCAGATTATTAAGTGCTTGTAAACACACTCAATGATAGATCAGTGGTAGTTTTTGTCATGTAACTGAGGTTTTTAGGAGTCTGACTGATAGGCTAAGCAGAAAGTTCACCACGGTTACCACTGTTTTAATGTTGTTAGCTTGCCGAGCTTCTATTTGTCCATTACTGTCATCGAGTACCATGACTTGGTTCCTCAAGGGTTCTTTAGTAAATAGAAATGTTCTATGTAGAACCATGAACACTCAAAGAACCCTTTGCATTGTTAAAGAGTTCTTTGCATCATGAAAGGGTTCTTCAGAATGTGTTGTACATGGTTCTATATAGAACCTTTTTGAAAAACTATATAGCACCCAAAAGGGTTATTTTATTAAACAGAACCCTTTTCAAAAAGGGTCTATGTACACCATCTACAGCACATTCTCCATCATCTGAAGAACACTTTTATGATGCAAAGAACCTTTAAAGGGTTCTTTGAGTGTCCTCTGTACTAAAGAACCCTTGAAGAACCATCCTTTTAAAGAGTGTATTGATCAACTGTTTATGCCTAAAAACCTTAATTACACAATTATCATTACACAATTAATTACAAAATACTACCTATCCTAAAAGTTCAACCTTTCACATGTACCCAAAAATAATGTCACTGTAAAAGAAATGATCTGTTCTGAATTGACGTATTTTAATAAAAACTGAGCTGGTGCTACAGTGTCTCACTGAGGCAGGTACACTGAATGTAATGCAAATAAATGACATGAAAATGCAAACATTTCAAATTTAAAACATTTCAATGCATTTTTTAATTTTGACATTTTATTAACATTTCTTTAACCTGTCTTTAACCAGGGTAGTTATGCTAAGATTAAAATCTATTTTTGCACGTTACTCCTGGCCAGAAAGGCAGCGCACAACAATCAACAAGACAACCAACAAAACAAACAAGCAAACAAACAAAAGGCACAGAACTGTAAGGCAATCAATAATGAGAATGGGACTAATTGATAATTTTACAAATGTTTGGTAAAGCTTGTTTACTAGTAGTCACTATAATCATTATTTACAGCACTTACAGTACAGTACTTTACTCTATTTGTGCACATACTCTACTGTACTTTTAAATGCAATTCAGTATAAAACTGTATATTCGTAAGACTACACATTGACAGCAGTACATTACTGGAATCAATGATACCTTTCTTTCATAATATTATATTATGCAGAGACATTAGGAAATGAAAGATAAAATATATTTTAAAGAGTCAAAAATGCTGACAAAAATCGGTTTATTTTTTAAGATTTAGGTTTTCAAAAATAGAAATAGCTTTCAAAAGATAACAGGCTGCTTTAATAATACTCACAGTTAGGCTTCAATGTTTTACTATAAGTATTTACTAAAGAATTAATTAAAAAAGCTAAAATAATTAAAATTATATTACTTGCATGTCTCACAAGCTTCAAAAGTCAGTGTTTATGCTACGGCTGTGGTATTAAACTCAGTGTGGGAAAGTCAATGTACACCACCGTTAGCTTGGTGCTTACCTGACACCTATAGAAACTGAATCCCATAGCTAACTGAACTTAGCATTATCGTAGCAGTGGTAATCAGACAGAAAGCTTTGGATTAACATATTATTAACTATTAGCTGATTATACATTTAGGAGCAAGGGAGTCACTGTACAGAACACACACAGTACAGACACACAAATGGAAAGAACACAAGCTGTTTGCATCCATTAGCATTCCTCACTAATGGAGCCAGTGCTTCCTGAGTAGCGAAGCAGGTCCTGCAGGGTATCAGCAGTGTGACTGTATGTGAGCAATGCACTGTGTAATTAGTACTGATCAGCTGGTTCCTGTTCTGTGCTGTTTCTTATTACTGTTCTCCTCTTTAGTGGACAATGCTGTGTGTGTGTGTCTGTTTTCCTGTGTGTTATCCAGGTGTGCTGTCACTGGAGGTTTAAACAGTGTAATGAGTCCATTATGTTGTTACTCTGCTTCAAATCACTAGAATAACTGATTAACTGATCAGCATGCACAACATTTTTCTTTCTACAGTGAGGTCACCGTTAGGCCACTCATCAGTAGAGAGGTGTGTGTGTGTGTGTGTGTGTGTGTGTGTGTGTGTCTGTGTAAGGGTGGGTATCGGGGTTCATATGCAGACAGAATGTAGTGTGATGGGGAGTGCTGAGAACAGAGAGAGATGGAGTGAGAGACAGAGAGTAAGGTGCGTGTCTGTGCGTTGTGTGTATATATATATATATATATATATAGCTGTTATAGGAAGAAAACCTTGCATCTCTAAAATGGTAACTTTGCAGGAAAAGGAAAAAACCTACTTTACTTTTAATGTAAGTCAATGGAACCAGAATTTTTTCCAAGTCATTTTGGGCCGTTTCTTTTGGTCCATTCTTCATGAAATTTACACACAATATAAAGAGCAACAGGTATTGTCAAATTATGTCAAAAACTGAAAAACGATAAAAATGGAAATACAATGTTTTGTTCAGACAGCAGCAATATACCTACACACACACACACACACACACACACACACACACACACACACACACATATATATATATATATATATATAAAAAGCAAAGCAAGTTTATTTGTGTAGCACCTTTCTTACACTGCGGTCATTCAAAGTGCTTTACAACTGAGAACAAGAGATAATTTAAAAAGTTGGGGGGAGAATAGAAATTAAAAACATGACTAAACTCTTTAAACATTTTCTGCACATTTTAGTTCAGAGTTTCTATTTATTTGTTGAGTTTAATATATTGGGGAAAAATACATAAAACATAATGTGCCATAATTTTTGCACAGGCTACATTTTATGGATTTCTTTGCCTAATATTTCCAAATGTGAGAGATAGATAAAGACACTTCAGCACATTTTAATGCAAAATTACTGTTTGTTTACTAAATTTAACATATTAGTAAAAGAACACATCAAATGTAACTTGTACAAAAGTCATGTCACGTTATATTCTGTGCATTATTTTTTTTCCCAAAATGTTAAACTCAGCAAATAAATAGAAATTGTGCTGTAAAAAATGCCATATTTAAGTGTGTCCTCTGTAAAGTGTTAAACTATTAAAAAAAAATTTGATCAGGGGTGTTCAAACATTTGCATACAACTGTATTTATATGCATAGAGAGAATGACTTAAAGAGTGAGTGAGAGAGCGAGACAGAAACAAAGAGAGAGGAATCTAGAAGGGGATGAGAGAGAGAGTGTGAGTGAGTGTGAGAGATGTATCACAGACCCGGCTCAGCTGAGGATTCGGAGTCTGTCTGTCTCTCTACACATACCTCGCAGGACATACATGCAGGAACCAACACATTCTCTGTCTTCCTGCTTTTATCCCCCTGTCCTCCTGTCTGTCTGCACTGCTCCCCTGCCATATAACCCCTACAGAGCTTCTGCTTAAGATGTTGTCATTCAGTGTTAGGCTGTGTGAGATTAGGTCTTTCTACTCTAAATCAAATTAGAGGTTTAATCCACCCTGAAATTTTGAAATGAAGCCAAATATAATACAAGAGTGTTTTTTAGAAGAAGACTGTAGGCCCAATAAAATTCTGCCTGAACCCGACCGTAGCCCAATGAAATTCTGCCTGAACCCGACCGTAGGCCAATGAAATTCTGCCTGAACCCGACCGTAGGCCAATAAAATTCTGCCTGAACCCGACCGTAGGCCAATAAAATTCTGTGAACGACTGTAAACCCGAACCGACTATAGCCCAATAAAATTCTGTCTGAACCGACTGTAGCTCAATAAAATTCTGCCTGAACCCGACTGTAGCCCAATAAAATTCTGTCTGAACCGACTGTAGCCCAATAAAATTCTGTCTGAACTCGACTGTAGGCCA